CTGGCTTTGCTTGTGACTACTACGTTACGCATGAGTAAACCTTTTTTGTGAAACAAACGTGTCACGAGAGGTTCTCTGTCGAATGGGGCAAATCTCACAACCATGACTTCTGATTTTACTGCTGTATCCTCCATTGACTCTACTTGTTGGAAGCCACTTGGGAAGTACACAAATGGTGATCATGTGATTGCGGGACACTGCGACGGTCATAAATGCCCACCAGTTGTGAAGCACCCAAATGCCGATTGCGTGACTGCAGGGATACTGTGCAGGTCATAAATGCAAGGACTGGTAGAGTTACTTTTTCAGCGCCATTGTAATTTCAAACGGTGGCTAAATGAGGCAGTCAGTAAGCGAGGTCTACCTTATTATGGATTTATATGTCTGTGTCTGTATGTACACTCAATCCTCGTTATCTGCACATTCTGTTTCCGTGGATTCGCTTATATGCTTCTATAAAAGTGTAACCCGTTTTTCGTCAAACATGCGGTATGTGGCCATGCACAGTAGGGAAAAAAGTCTGAGCACCTTACCGTGCAGTGTCAACACGAGCTACACCAAGGGAAACTGTTCTCGTTCTTGTTAACAAGTCTTCTGATAACAGTTCACATGTTCTCACTAGGATTAATGCTTCAATTTCCACAGTTTCTGTTTCTGCAGGGGGGTTTCAAGAACGTAACCCACGCAGATAATGAGGATTGAGTGTGTGTATGTATACGTAAAATATGTACAGCCCTTTTGGAACAAAGGTCACATTTGCTACAGCACCCCCCACAAGGGCTGAAGGGACATGGCCGATGACATCATTGTGTCACCAAGCAAGCATGTCCAACCTTCTCAGCCTGGTTTTGGGGAGATCAGAATAACAAAGCATAAACTTTCCAATTGTGAAAGTGGAACATGAAAAAAAAGACAGACACCTTTGAATGGTGCATCTGGAGACAATGATTATGAGTTCCGTGGATTGCAAGAAGCAATTAGTCAGTTAGTCCTGGACTAAATAAAGGAGAACGGATTGCTTGAGATGACCAGCAACAGAAACTCACATTCTGGGCATGTAATTCAAGTGGATGATGGACTAGAAAAAATACTTCTTGGCAAGACAGTCATACCTAACTAAATAATTTGAGGGAGTACTCCCCTATGGGAAAAGTCAGCCCAATTCAGGGATGGGGCTGCAGGATTTTTTGAAGGATGAAATGGGACCCCTAAGCTTCTGCATATCTAAGAGATGCCCCTTCAAATCCCAAACAAGCAGAAACAAAAAAGGGGACAAGGATTTTGTACCCCATCCATTGTGGAGATATTGACTCCACCCACCCTGGAAGTGCTTCTGAGGGTCACAAAATGGGTGCTGAGGACCACAACTGGCCCATGGTCCCCAGACTGCCCATATCCTGCAGAGAACAACCCAAAGTTTAAAAGTGAACATAGCTATTACCAACACAGAGAGCCAGTTTGGTGTAGTGGTGAAGGCATCAGGATAGAAACCGGGAGATGGTGAGTTCTAGTCCCACCTTAGGCACAAGCCAGCTGGGTGACCTTGGGCCAGTCCCTCTCTCAGAGCCCTGGGAAGGAGGCCATGGCAAGCCACTTCCAAAAAGCCTTGCCAAGAAAACCGCAGGGACTTGTCCAGGTAGTCGCCAGGAGTCAACACTGATTGGGAGGCACCCCCCACCAAAAATTTTACCAACACAGGAGAAGTATTAAAAGTGCCAGGTTGTCCCGGAATACTACCTGCCAGTCGGGCATTCACAATATTGTGCTTCTCCCAGAGCCACAGCACGGCTTCATCCCAGGTCTTCACAGAATCCAAAGACAATCTGGCCATCTCTCCGAAGTGCTGCGCACAGGCTCGGCAGCCAAAGAAATCCTGGACGTATTTTTGCATGATCTGGAGAACCACCTGTGGATTGTCTTCAAAGCCTGTAAGCAGCAATGGACACGGGCAATCAACAAAGGGTCTGTAGATCATTCATTGGCGGGACACAGGACGCACACCTGCAATGTCTCAGGTTCACCTCTGGCGACTCCAATTCAAAGAACTTAAACCCTCCCCACCCCCCCTCCTTCCTTTCAAGAACTTTTATCAGCCATTAGATTAACTGCATTTCGTCCTGAGTGTGTTTTTCTTTCACGTTTGTTACTTTTTGCTCACTTGTTTTTAATCTGAGGCTAGCTGCCCAGCATTGCAACTGTTGAGTTGGGCAGCCTTAAATAAACAAACGAACAAATATGATTCTGTACTTTTCCTTTCTCTGCCCAGGGCTGGGAAGAGACAAGGGACGTAACTCTAAGCAAGGGCGGAACTGATTTCTTGCTCCAATGTTCCTTTCGATCCACCTGCTTGTTCACGTGACGTACTGCTTACCTCTGTGGAACAGTGATCTTGGACTGATGGCTTTTTTCCCCTAAAAAGAGTTCATGGGTTATTAATCCTAGCTTGCCCTGAAGTGCTGTGATTTTGTAAAATATCAAGGCTCTGAATTACACTCAACATGGCTGTTCCATCAAGAGAACACACACTTTCAAGAGACACGGCAGTCCCCAGGCATCTTTTCCACAAATATTTCCTGAAAGCAGGGATACCCAAGGAAGTAGGTATCAGTGTGTGGGAGGGAGGCATATATTTGTTTCATAGAAAGATCTGAAGGCAAATGGGGCAAACTCACTTTGGGAAACAGAGCATTTGGGTCAGAATGCTTCAAACTTTTCCTCTGAATTCTCAGTAATTATCAGGAAAGACACTACTGAGAGGCTATTGTATGTGTCTTTCTTTTATTAGCCCAGGACTGTACCTTCTGTAAACACATGTCATGTCTCTTGATCTAATCCTTCCTTTCTCTTTCCTTGCAAAACTGCTGCAATTCAGGATCACTCTAATCTTTAAAATGGGCAAGAACCATAAAACTCCACCTGTGGCTGGAAGGATTAGGGGCTCTTTAGGAGACGGGAATTAAAGCAAGCAATAAGGAGAGGAAACCTTCCAAAGAATAATCCTGCTGCTTCAGCCTGACCCAATTCTCCTGTTACAAGAAATGATCATATCAAAAACAGGCTGGTTGAAATGAACACACGGGCATCACGCTGAGCTTAAAAAATGGGTTGAAACTTTCAACCTGGTTCCAAAGGAGAAAAATTGGGTAAGAACTGACCCAGCTTGAACTGTGTTCCAGCTGTAGCTCAGGAGCTGGAGAAGTTTCTGAGCAAGTTCTGCTCAGCAGAGAACTTAATGAGGACGCCCTTCACTTTGCAAGCCAGACACACAGACGCTCTTTCCTTTTTATATGGATGTTGGTTGGGGTCACAGAACAGAAAGCAAGTCTCCAAAGCAGGACAGTATTCCAGTGCCCACAGCCTGGAATTTTGCAGACTCAGTGCAGCCTCTGGATTTCTAAGATATTATTCCTAGATTTTCTGAAGAGGAGGATCCATATGATTTGCAAAATATAAAGGAACTAAACTTTTTAAGGTACCTATGAAACAAAGAGGTAGGGAGAAACAACATTCATTTGCTAAAATGGGGAAGGGAGAGGTAGGGAGACAGAGCTCTTAAACTGCAGCAAATATTGTGCAGAGATAGATCTTGTGCCCTTCTATGTTGGGGGATTCATAAAACATGCTGAATCCCGTTACTGAATTAACTCATAAAATATCAAAGCATAAATGAACAACAGACTGCTTTCACATAAAGCACCTTCTCCATATTAAATCTAACCAAAGTTAACATGCTATGGGAAGCCAGATGCTAGGGCTTTGATTAACCAGGTTAAGTGGGTTACATGATCCCAGAAATTGGCTATCAAGCCCTGGACCTTTAAAGTGAGCTCTTAAAAATGAAAATGTGAATTTGATAAAGAGGTGTTTATAGATCTTAAACTATGAGGAATATTAGGAAGGAACACCGGGCTGAAACTTCCTGCTGAGGACAAACTTGACAGCAATCTGGTTTTGCTATAATGAACCACAGTAAATGTTGCACAAAGCAGAAATTGGGGGGGGGGGCAGTATTTTCCTTCAGTCCTCTGCAAGACATTGCTGGAGGTGGGGGGGAATTCCTCAGAATATCAGTATGTTCCATGACACTGGAATGAACAGTGTTATTTGCCAAGTGCTAGGACGCTACCTGGAAAAGGCTGTTTGGTCACCTAACGATAAAGCAGCTGGGGTGCCATTTAAATTCCCCTCCCTGCCAGCCACTCTTGACTCACAGAAGCATTAAACCTCTTTTCCTTACCTGTGTTGAGCAAGGCCCTGGGCTGTGCTGCTGCTTGAACCGTTAGGGTGTGGAAGAGCTTCCAGAAGGCACACGTATAACCTCGCAGTCTCAGCTGGCTGCCCTGGCACTCGACCCACTGGACGCGGCTGGGCAGAAACAGCCCTGAGATCTAGAAAGGGCAAAAGACCTGCATGAACTTACATTCCCACGCACCCCAAGACCAGCAGAAAGGTTGTTTAGGCAGAAACCTGTTGTAGCAGGGCTGACCCCTATTGTGAATTTTTAAAAATCCTGGCCTTGGATAACATCCCGAGGGATTCATCTAGGCTAGAACTTTTTAAAAAGTTGAGCTAAACCCCAAACAAACCCACCACTAAGGGTGTACAAACCCTTCCACACCTGGGCCATTCCAATTTTTAAATTTTTTAAAAATTCTAATTTAATCTTTCCATTTTAATTCTGTAAGCTGCCCGGAGTCACCATGTGTAAGCGGGCAGCTATATAAATTTGTTTAATAAACAAATAAATAAATTCTTCACACAGAACATCCAATTTGGGGGAGGTCTGTGCCCACTTGAATTGTGTGTTTGGACCAGCCACAGGCCCGAAACATACATTTGGTCTGGACAGGGATCTGGAGCACATGTGCTCTGGGCCACAGCGTTTCAGGGCAGAGAGAGTGGGAAAAAGTCAAGACTAGGAGTGTCCATGACCAGGCGAGGCAGAGAAAGGCAGGCACTGAAAAGATCGGGGAAGGGGAAGGTGGGTCAATTGGATATACTTTGCTGGGGTTCAGGGGCAGCGGTGGCGGAGAGCATAGAAGGAAAGGAAGGAAATAGAAGATATAGAAGAGAGGAGGAGGAAGAGATAGAAATACAGAGGAAGCGAAATTGAAAGGAGGGGTAGGCAGGTTGCCACCCCCTTGAATTCAACTATGGCAAATCCAATCAGCCCACTTGATGTTCCAGCCCCTTACCTCCTCTCACCTCCCCTAACCCCGTCTTAGCTTAGCCTCCTCGGCTCTTGAATTAAAGGGCTTTGCATCAAATTGCCCACTTGCCTACCTGTTTCCCCCTAGGAGAGGTGCAGTGGTGGGAGGGACAAAGACTCTTCCTTTTTATTCTAAAGGCCCCCGGGAATTTGTCTCAACCAAAATGCGCCAGGATTCAGTGTGACTGAACTGCAACCAGCCTGGAAGGGTTAGGCTGAACTTTGGAGCCACAGTATGCCTGTTTCTGATCCAAAGCAAAATATATTTTCCCTTTCATGGACCCGCTGGAAACCATGTGGCTCCTTAGCGTTATCTTTGGACCATGATGGTGGGCCAGTAACTTGGTGCATCGTTGTTTTCAACCTTACAGCCTATTTGGCATCCCATGAACTTTTCTCTGCAAGGAAACAGACTCTTCCTTCCCCTCCAGCTTGCATCCTCCCTGCACCAACCTGCTCAACTTTTAGACCGAGACCTAAAACTCCCACGGAGAGGCTCAAACAACAGCTGCAGAAGAACGAGCCAACAACTCCACTTCGGTCCGCCCTGGCAACAGGGGCCCGGACGTGGCCCGGCAGGAGATGCCGCTAGAAATGGAGATGCTGCTAGAGGCTGCTGATGCTTGGCAGGAAGGACTGCGGGACATCAAGCAAGTAGCGTCTCCCCACAAACTCCTGCTTCCGTGTCTTTGCCTTCCCCTTCATCTTACCCCAAACGGTGTAAGTTGGATTCAAAAAGAAGAATCCAATAAAACCGCTGAAAAGCTATGAATATACTTCAACAGGCAGGAGCTGCAGAAAATGTGCATTACCAGGCTGGTGGCTCAGACTCCGCCCCCCCGGAGCGTCTCGGATTGTGGCTGCCCCCCTTTCCTTCTTCTAGTCTCCAACCAATAACTAGCAGGGGCTTGCCTGCATTTTGTTGTTCAGCAGGTCCAAGATGGCATCGTAGGGGATTCGCTCCAACGGGAGGCTGAGCAGCCACACTTGTAAGGTCTCCAGTGACTTCATCACGGGTTGACGGCCGGGAAAGAGCTGAGCAAAACACCAAGTGAGAGACATGCCTTCAAGGACTATTCTCAGAAAGGTATCCCAGTCACTGCATTTGAAACTTTTTTCCTTCCCTGAAGACTCCATGGGGTGTGTGTATGTGGGGGGGGGAAGGGGGGAAGACAACTAAAAGGCAGCACAACCAAGTTTCATGATCAGTCAAGTAGCAAAAGCTGAAAATAAAGTCAACCGGAATAACTGAGGTAGAGGTAGTCATTTCGTCACTGCCTTGTTTAGCGATGGTTCACAGTTACAACGGTGATGAAAAAGTAACTTTATAAACAATCCTTGCATTTACGACCTTCACAGGTTGGTAAAGCGAAGGAAAGCCAAAGTAAGATCATAAGCACAGTCGCAGTTTCACACAACCAAGTTGCCAGTCCCAACTGTGGTCGCTAAACGAGGACTACCTGTATTCTGTTTAAAATGGATTGGCTGCAGAGGACAACAAATACACCAAGCAGGGCTGTTTCTTTGTGCAACTTACCAAATAGCAGGAGATTATCTGTTTTTAGGGGTATATTGGCTGTAAGACTCTTGATAACTAATAAGAGGATGATGGGCCCTATTTGGGAAAAGCTGCCCAACCTTCTGGGATAGTGAACTGCTTACTGCAAGACAGCAATGTTAGTTTCTTGCAATCAAGGCCTGAGCTTCCCTTTGCCAAACTCAGGGAACTCTTGATCCAATTCAGCTTTATCATAGTATTCCCTTCTCAACTAAAAAAAAAATCCTCTCTCTGAAATATTTTTATCCCCGTATGTTGCCAAAACACCAATCTACCTATTTATCACTATTGACTTATCTGATTTATCTTTCCATCCAAGCAGGATGATCCAGGGGCTTTCCAATGCAGATATATATATACAGAAAACAGAATAATGAACTAAAAATAGTGCAATTAAACACACTCCTTACAAAATTACAATCCTTAAAAAAAACCCTATTTTTAAACTGGTTTAAAGCATGTGGTTGAAAAGGCCTACTTTAACTCCTTTTCTGAAGACAGAGAGGCAGTGCCACTTCTGATGGAGTGAAGCAAGTTCTGCAGCTTGGAAACAGTGTCCAAGTGGGGTTGTCTAGAAGAAGGTCTCTTCTGCAGATCTTAATGCCTGGACAGGCTCACCCCAAAATAGGAGATCCCTCAAATATTCAAGTCTTAAGGTCAAGTCAGGAGTCTTAAGATGAAAACCAATTTTCTAACCCAAGTTGGCAGCTTTTAAGATGTGTGGACTTCAATTCCCAGAATGCTGGCTGGGGAATTCTGGGAGTTGAAGTTCACATATCTTAAAGTTGCCAAGATTGAGAAACACTGTACTAAACACTGTTTTGAAAATCAATGCATGTTTTTAACAAACCTTTAGCAGCTGCCTTTTGTACCCCTGACAGCTATGGAACATTTGTTCCCCAAACCCTATTCACGTTCTCACATTTGAGGTATCTACACCTCTGATTCAACGGTTAAAACATTTCCCTAGACATATTGATTCTGCAGTCCCAAAATCTAACAAGCTGTAAGCTGCTATCGGCTAGGGAAAAGCAACAGATACACCACGAACACAAAAAGGCACTCTATTTTTAAACACGTTCTATCTATCTGCGTGAAAAAAAAATGCATCTGAATCAAGGAACAAGGAACTGAGTGGCATATACTTTCAGGAAGACTGCCAGTGGCCAAAAAAGCCATTAAGAGCAGAATCGATATTTGTGTGTGGGCACAAAGCATCTTTCTGCTAGACCTGTAATCTCTGCTAATATTACTCAGAGATGTATGGGTCACATCATCACATCGTCCCACCCCACCCCTCCCTGTATCTCCCAAAGAGGAACAAGAGTGAAGAAAGGTTCCAGATGGAAATGGGCTAAGTCTTAGAAGATCAGGACCGAAGAAGACGTCCTATCACCAGGCATCAGTCAAGATGGAAATACACTTTAAAACTACCCACTCCAGACATAGTGAACTGCAGCCCCATAAATCGCAGGCACCACAGCAATGGACAGTGTGGTTGAGGATGATGGAACCTGTAAACCAACATTTCTAGAAGCTGGGAAAGGCCGGCATAAGCAGAACGTAATTTAGGGTTGCCATTCAAACTCTGTAGAGTTTGCCTGAAAAGAAAGTTCTGCCTTCTTTACTTTAGAAAAGGCAAATGTGGTGTCTGTTTTGTTTTGGTAATATTCAGGCAATACTCCTTCCCCAACAGACACATTCACAAAGGATTATTAGGGTGGGGGAGAAAAAAAAATACAGATAAGCACATTCACTGATTGGGCGAGAGCTACACAAAGACATTTAATCAGCCCATCAAAGCCTCTCTTGGGAATAATACAACCAAGAATTTAATACCACCTTCTTAAATTGCCAACTTCTTAAACTGGACTTTGCAGTCATGAGGATCACAATATTTCTAGGTAATTTTTACCAAACAACAAATATTTGAGTGCATTGCATATGTTTGGTGCCATTAAGTCAGCCTTGACTGATTATTTCTCACCTTGCTGAAGCTGACGTTAGCCTGTCTTATTAAGAACAATAAAGTGGACAATTAAAACACTTAGGGTAGGACCATTCTTAACTGCAGGAGTTTCAGCATCTTTTTATTTAATATCTATATCTTTTTAAACGTTACAGCTTCTCACTTTGGAGGACAAATATTACATGCCAGAAGCTTACTCATTCTCCCATACAGATTACACACCAGGTCAACCCCATATAAAAATGCTCATTTCCCATCCTTCCTTATAAATATAAGATTTGTGTTGCATTTCATGCCAAAAGAAGGCAACTTTGGTGTTGCCATGAGGTCTAGGAAGGGATCAAAGGCTACATTCTGATCCAGAAAAAGCCAGGGTTTATCATTCTCTCTCGCTTTTATACACACTCACACGCACACATGTGTATGTGTGTATGTATGTATGTGTATTTATATATATCCCTTTCTTATACTGCCCTAATCAATTGACCCTGGGTGGTTAAGAGTAAAACATAAAACAACGATCTAAAACACAACACCTGCAGGCCAACATCGCCTGGCTAGAAATGGCTGCCCAACCACCATCAGCACCCATCAAATGGCCACTTCCAAAGGAGGGTCTTAGGGGAAGGCCAAGAGTGAAGGAGCTGTTGAATACACTGAAGGTGCTCTCAGCATTCGGTTAAGATGTCACGTTGCCCTGATTAATCCCCAGCTTTGGAGGGCTGGTGGGCTTCTCTGGAAATCTGAGAACATCTGGGGGACACTCTCACAGGTGAGCTGCTAGGGATGGCATGTCTACAGCAGAATGGCAGCAGTGGGGACATAATGAGTTATTGCTGAGGACCGGAGTGCAGGTCATGATCGGGAAGCAAGAGACCCCTGGGAGTTTTAATGCAAGAACTGAAGTACAGCATCATGTAATTTCCAACTCTAGTTTATGAGTGAGTTCGTTAAGGTGGAGGGTCTTTGAACATTTCAAATCTCCTGCAAAAAGCTTTTGAATCTCCTGCAAAAAGGACTGAGCTATCATGTATGAGATCAGCTACTAACAAATTCCTTTCCCATCTCTTGGTTGTTCATGTCTAACATGCCCCGTTGATGTCCCAGCCTCTCCACGATCTCTCACCATTATAACGTACTGATTTACAACAATGCTCTGATAATGTTCTTTCCTTCTGGGCAGGTGGGCACATTTCCACCAAAATCCCAGGATGCAGTTGCTCTAAGGTTTTCTAAGACAGTTTATGAGCCTAGAAGCATTTCCTCATGCAGTCCAACTTGGAAAATGGACATCTTCCCATTTTTTAAAATTGAGTTAATTTAATCTCTCTCCCTCCTCCCTGGAGGTGTCAAGGGAGGGGTCTGTTGGTACAGTCCCAGGGTTTGTGAAAAGCAATGGGAAACACAACTGCATTTAAAGTTCTTTAAAAATTAGCCTCCCTTTCCTGTCACGTTAGCACGCAGCTTCTCAAAGATCTGTTTTTTAAGCAGGGGAAACTAGAAATCTACAGACAAATAATAAAGCCCCTTTATTCTTCAAGTATGATTCAAAGCAAAGGTAAAATATACTTTGTAATTAAGGAGGGAGAGAAGCAGAAAAATCAATTCTTTTTGACATTTAATTATGATTGCATTTAATTTTGAATCATTATTAAGTTTTTAATTATTATTAATGTTCTGCCCTTGGCAGGCCCCAGCACACATTTCCAGGCCAACATGGTCCTTGGCTCCAGACTCTTGTACAGCTCTGCACTAGAGCCTCAAATGCCACCCCTGTGAAAATTCTCACTATAGGAAAGGGCACTGAAGTCTCTCAAGCGGGCTAAGCTCCAGATGTTCTGGCCATTCTTGGTTTGTCCTAATGGAAGCACGCACACCACCAATACACCTTCTCTTCCAACCCACAGCTTATTCTACACAACTTGTTCACCTTGAAGAGTGACAACTGCACGGTCATTTCTATTTTATGATCACAGCACTAATGTTAAAACATCACATGCATAAGAAACTCATCTTAAAACTAGGGAAAGGGTCCAGCAGATCAAAGACTATTAACATCCAGAATCTCTTATTGCAAAACACCATAAATATTGCCCATTTGGGATTCCTTTTTCTTTTTTTAAGTCCTGCCCCAAGACTTTTTTCTCCCTGCAAGAGCTCAGATTCCTATCTTCTGCAGAACTGTGTAGAAATGGAAACTGGAACAGGCTTTTTGCAGTAATTGGCCACACATATATTTTGTGCTTTTAAGACAGTCTTCACTCCTAGGGACCGCCTGGACATGTCCCTGCAGTTTTCTTGCCAAGATCTTGGAAGTGGTTTGCCATTGCCTCCTTCCTAGGGCTGAGACAGAGCGACTGGCCCAAAGTCACCCAGCTGGCTTCGTGCCTAAGGCAGGACTAGAACTCACAGTCTCCCAGTTTCTAGCCCAGTGCCTTTAACCACTACACCAAACTGCCTCTCCATAGAACAGCTGCTCTTAACACAGAAATTATCCATTCTACATCAGTCTCTTCAACAATACAAATGATTTAGCAGAATCCACAAAGGTTTTCCAGAAAGTTGTATCCTCTATAGTGTTTTATATAAGACAATATAGCAATATAGGCACACGTCTCCTTGGCAAAGACTAGTTTTCAGAGGCCTGTAAAAATGTGCTAAGACAGGCAGCAGTGAAAGTCCTGGTTCTAATTTGGCCTTTTGGAACAGGCTGTTGGGCCTGCAAATAGGAACCCTTCCTCTCCCTCCCCATAAATGCATCAAACATTCGTTTATTAGGCATTTCCTGGAGCTTAAGAAGAATTCCGTTACGTGTGATTTACTGCACATGTGCAAACACAATTAAAAGACTGAAAATGCTTACCTTGGCCAGGAGTATAACGACATCTTTCAAGGTCCTCAGCTCAGCTCCTTCTAGTGTTTTGTGAGTGGCCAGTTCTACCCTAAACAAGTAATGCAGCCCAGATTCAAGGTCAGCCATATATAATTTGGACCTGAAAAATAGAGACAACGATACCTTTGAAACTGGCAGGTTTATTTTATCTGCACAAGTGAGGAAGGTAAGAGTACTAAAGAGATGGAGTTTTTAATATGAGATTTATCCTTAGCATCTCCTCTTTTTTTAAACTTTATTTTAAATACACATATGCACATAGGCAAATACATTATAGCAGAGTGATATATCTTAAAGTTGCTAAGATTGAGAAATACTTCTCTAAAGGACGATAGCTCAATAATTGTCTATGCAAACAGGGAGGGGCTCCTGCACAGATGGCTGGATGGGGAATTCTGGGAGTTGAAGTCCACACATCTTAAAGTTGCTGAGACAGAGAAACACTGCTTTATAGCATACTCTTGGCATCTACAACACTGACACAGCAATTGCGAATTAACAGGAGCCCCAAAGGCCTTACAGAAGAGGGGGATTTAAGGAGGGTATCCTACAGAACAGAAACAGATTTAAAGTAATGACAGATATTCCTGGGTTAAGAACGTCCGGTTTAAGGATGACCCATAGTTAAGAACGGAGCCTACTGTAGCAAAATTCAAGCTAAACACACAAGGATTTGAGTTCAATACACAATGGTTTGAGTTAATTACACAATACTACTTATACAGTGTCATACAATAATACTGTTCCAGCTTACATACAAATTCGACTTAAGGACAGACCTCGGGAAGGGAACTCGTTCTTAAACTGGGGACTATCTGCATAAATATGACTTGCCACCTACAAGAGAAACTTTTCAGTACTGTTGGTTAGGAGTGTTGTTGCTGCTGTTTTTAAGATTCCAGCAAGCCAACACTGGCCACTCCTAGGATACACCATCGCAGTGTCGATCTCATAGTTTTCTGAGTGTCTCCTCTGTTTCTTTGGGCCAGACACTCTCTCTTAGCCCAACCCACCTCACAGCATTGTTGCTGTGGGGAAAACAGGAGGCAGGAGTATTAAGTATGTTTGCTGCTTTGAGTTGAGCAAACGAAAAAAAAAAAGGTGGGATAAAAATGTAACCATCACCATCATCATCTCCCTTCCTGCACAACAGTGTTGGACTCACTAGATGATCTTCACTTCCAAATGCACAATTCTATGATTCCATGATCTGAAATCCCATTTGACAGATGGAGATCTCCTAGTCTCTCAGTGCCCCCGTTTGGTTCATCACCCATGGACTCAGAACTCAGATTTGTTAGCAGAGGTAAATATTTATTTTATTTAGGTGTAAATTTATATTGTGCAGCTTGGTAGCACTCCCTTTGCAGCATTTAAAATTGGTGGGGTCAAAACATCTCACCTTTTAAGCCTTGGAGAAGTTTAAGGCACTGATTTAGTCTTTAAAACTCCTCGCTCCCACCAAAAACATTCAAGTAGTCCTGCCCATTTTTGAAATGCAGCCTTTGAAATACTGCGAAAGGCCTGGAGAGGTCCATCAGGTGGTTGATGTTCTGCAACTGCTCTGGAGATCCTGTGCCCCCAGGACAGCCCAACTTAAAATCACCATTCACTCTCAAACCATGCATTCAGGAGGGGGAAGAAAAGAGCCAACATTGCAAAAAATACGCTAAGGAAGAGAACTGCAGCACTGCTTACTGGTCAAACTCTTTCCATTCCTTGATGTCCACGTTTTCTTCTCTGTTTTGCTGGAGAAGTGGAAGTGGAGAAGCAAGTTTCTTTCTAACCCCAGGGAGTGACTTTAAATGGGAAGAAAAGAAAGACCGAAGAGGCTTCAAACTGTGTATGGAAGGACAGTATAAAAGTTAAAAAAAACTCAAACTAAACAGGCAGAGAGGAAAAACTGTTGCTACAGAGGTCAGGTGCTTCCCTGAAATGTTCCTTTCGGTTCCCAATAAATGCAATAATAGCTCCCAGGAAAGAGTTTAAAAAGGGCCAGAACATTTCAGTTTATCCTAGCCAAGACTGCAGAGCCTAATGAAAAAAAATACTGAGAAAGGCAACTTCTGTGCCTCTTGGCTCCCTAATTCCTGCTCAAAATCTACCAGAATCAGCCGCAATGTCTGTCCTAAGAACCTGCGGGAGCAGCCTCTGAATGTTTCGCTTCCCAGAATGGAACAATATAACTCCTGAGCTCCACACAGATGCAGGAGTCTTGAACAGCAGCAAATGCAGCTTCTCCTGTTTGTACAGCTCAGCATCCACGACAACCACTTCTGCTGAGGTTTCCTTTTTACACTTGCCAAGGCAAGAGACTCCTCGCTTACAGTTGGTCCCCTGACATCCTCTGGATAACAGCTGGCCCTTTCAAATATTTATCTGGCCATCTGCCATACAGGTAGCTAAAGAGCTCCATGTTATCAAGCCTCTGTTTCCTTTGGCACGTCCTGTAGATGGCAACTTGCCCAAGGAATACCCACTTTCCAAACCACCAGTGTTACCCAATCAATTACTAAAGCACGTTCTCTTTTGTTGCCCAAATTCTACTTTATTATGAATTCTGATCATCTTGCATACACCAAGGATAGGCAATACAGCTGCCAACATATCTGTAGCCAAACTGTCACCGCAGCCCACAAATATTTTTTTTTACTTTTAAATAGGCGAAATCCCATTTGAAAGCCAAAATCTCATGTGCAAATGCTGAAACTTTGGGGCAGCAGAAGTCTGGTTGCCAAAGTCTTGTGAAACGTGTGGATCCTGTAAGATTTGGGGAACTTTATGGGAGAGGAAATGCTGAGGCCTTTGGGTGAGATTCCATAATGTTTTTGTAGTCTAAAGAGGATTTTGACCTTCCTCTACCAAGTGATGATTGACTATGTGCCATCAAGTTATCGTCAACTCTTGACGGCCACACAGACAGACCTTCTCCAAGAGAAGTACAAAGTGATACACTGAAGACATTAAAGCAGTGTTTCCCAACCTCGGCAGCTTGAAGATGTGTGGACTTCAACTCCCAGAATTCCCCAGCCAACATAGTTGGCTGGGGAATTCTAGGAGTTGAAGTCCACACATCTTCAAGCTGCCGAGGTTGAGAAACACTGCATTAAAGCAACTAACTGACAGCTTCATAAATCATGAGCTGACCCATGTTTTACAGAGTTTTGCACAGTGGCTGCATTTGGGGGAAGTTTCTCCAGCACAGGCGCAAACAAGCTCCCATTTCATTATAATGGCTATCCTACATCACACCCCCCAGCAGACCACCTGTTGTAGCTTTGCCCATTGTATCTGGAGCTACCTAAGAAGAAGACGACCTTGGAGCTACGCCAAGGCCTCCCAACAGCAGGGCCTAAAAGCTCCCATTCATCAAGACTTACATGTTGATTAGTCCATGGGATCCATTGGGATAAGTCAGGTACAATGAAGGGACTGAAGGAATACCAAGTTTTTCAAGAAAAGCTGCCTCGGAATTTAGAACTCGCTTTACAGCAATGTTTTCATACTGGCTCAGATCCAAGATCACCTGGGTGGGAAAACATACAGAGTGACCAGGGCTACTGCTGCCACCAGAAGCAAAATTTGCTCAGAGAGAGCAAGCAGGCTGCACCCAGCTTCACAAAGATTGGCACTTAGAGTCGAGAAAGAAAATTAAGAGCCCTCCCATGCTTAGCTGGAAGTCAATCTCACTACATTCAAATAGGATTTATTTGCAAGTAATTGCCTAGGCCTGCAGCCCTGAGCTGCTGATACAATTTTTGGCAAACTGATAAAGATGCATTGGCCAGGAGATGATTCTTAGGGAAAAAATATAACTTACTACAAGGACATAAAGTCTACAAGAAGTTCCAGCTTCTATTCACTTCTCTTTTTCAATCCTCCGAACTTTTTGCCTGCACGTGATCTAACGCAAGACTGAGGACTAGAAACAGAGAACAAGACTTTGATTTCATTACAGGTGGGTGATTTGGAATTTTCTATTTCTTGCATTTGGAAATCAAGTCTGAAATAGGGCATACATTCTTTTGTCTCAGCAATCTGGCACTGGGGAGTCTTAATGAAGGATTCAGAAAACGTTCAATTGTTGAACTTATCAAACTTAGCATTTTAGAAATAAAACAGCAGCAGGATACAACCCAACTACTCTTGCGATTTTGCATTTCACAGCCAAGGCTTAAATGAAAATATGGCTGTGGGTTTTTATCATTTCCTCTGGGCGACTATTGTCTTTCTTGATAGGGCAATATTTCTTCCTTTCTTAATTTGTAAACCGCTCTGGTGTTCTAGAGCTGGACAGCTCCAGAAATGAGCTTTATAAAAAAATTAACTGTCTTCTGACCTCAACCTCACTTAAGAGTCTGATGAAGAGTGAGGTTGGTCAGAAGCCAAATTATTTTGTCTTTCTTCCATGCTTGCAGAGTAAAGGCTGGAAGGCTTGCAGAGAGTTCATTCCAAACAGAGGTACATAAAAATAGACTTAAGCCACGGTTACTTCAGGGGACGTGGTGGCGCAGCGGCTTAATGACGCTGAAAGTTGCCGGCCAGAAATGGTCGACGCTTCGGCG